GTCCTTATCCGAGAAGACTATAATAATTATCTATCCATTTCTTGATTATAGAAAGGTAGCAAATTCTCCTCACTTATTTTAAGACTATGAGTATTGGTCCGGCCAGGGCTTGAACCCTCGACCTCCCCTACAACACAATCCGGCACTCTAACCAATTGAGCTAACTGGGAAGCAGTTAGCTCAATTGGTGAGAGCTAAATTGTTAAAACATGCATAGACATTTGGCTCTCACTTTACTGCACCCAGGTATTTAAATGGGTACCAGGTATTTAATGCTCGGGGATAACCCAGCAAAGGACCAGCATTCCACCCAGGGGGGAGTAGAAATACTCCTAGTCACTTCATGCTACAGAAAGTGGAGTTAAGTGCTGGCCTGATATGCCACTTGGCTCATAAACAGACTTTACCTTTTTTTACTTGGTTCCTTGATCTTGTGCTGTCAGCAGTTAGCCAGAATTTTTGTCAAATGCAAGTTGCTTGAATTTCAGGCCTGAATCCAGTGACATCCACAATCTTACAAACAGCGGTGTGGCAGTGTGGATCAAGATAACCTCCAGCTGGATGGGTCTACTGCTGTTTATCTGGACCCTCATTGCCCCTGTCCTATTTCCGGACAGAGATTTTGACTGAGTGTGACCAGGCCTGTCTTCCAGAGTCCATAGACATTGCAACTGATTCTCTGAAAGCCCGCATAAACATTTGGTTCTAAATTAAATTTTTTGTTCTGCTAGCTTAGGTTTATAAAGCTAAAGGATGTTTTTTCTTTTTGACTGTAGCGTTTAGCTTTTGTGAATTGATCCAAATTTAGAGTTAAAAAAAAAAAAAGACAACAAGAAAGAAATCATGGCAAGAATGTTTGAGAGTTTCCGTTGTTTAATGGTTTATTGTCATCTTGGTTATTTTGATGTTTATATAAAAACTGAAATTGAACTGAACTGTGTTCAAAGATTGTTGTGTTGGCCTATGATACAACTAACAGGCGCATTCTTATTAACGACAATTTTGTCATTGGAAGTCGCCTTATATTTCAGGTTTGCTCAACTTTTGTAATGAAAAGTAAGGGACGTGCACAATCTGAATATGTTTGGAAAAGTTAAACTGAAATGTGAACAGGTACCCCGGCAATGGGTGAAAGGGCTACACACTGTGACTACATCACTTTTCATGCCATATTGCTTTAATAACAAGATCATTTACACTACGTTTGGTTATGCTTTTTAAAGTAACTTAAGCCTTAAAGATACAAATTTTCCCAGTAATGATAATCAGAATATTGCTTGTTAATAATAATATCTATCTGCTCAACTACATGTACTACCGACGAGGGTCCTGAACGGGTTGAAGGGGGAGGGGTGGGGGGGAGAGTAAATCCTTATGTTCCCCACAACCATATTTGCAGTCTATTTTTGGCGAAATCCCAGTACCAGTCCCACTTTCCTTTGCTTGTGATTCCAAGTACCGGTGCCTCGCTTGTCTTGCTTTGTGAAAAGATGGTAGACAAATTCCGTGTCATTTTACCATTCAAGGCCCTCACGAAACGACAGTGCAGCTTACGTTGTAGACTTTGTGGATCAGTAGTTAATAAATATTTGTTTAATTTAACAAAGAAGAAGAGGAGATGGCGGGAGATGCGAGCGCGGGGTACACAAAGTAAGAATTCCCACCACCACCACACCTCCTTTCCCCGTCTCCCTTTTCAAACAGCATAGAGCTGAGAGACTAGTCACCTAGTATATTCTGACTACACTCGGGAACTGAACTGAGACACTAGTCACCTAGTATATTCTGACTACAATCGGGCGAGATAATCAATGTGAAAGTTTATTTAGGATGAGTCAGCCAGTCCTGTGGTATACGCACCATTACACGATCTGCAATGCACTGCATGTGTTCACTGAAACTAAAGGGTTCTACAAAAATAGCCTGTGCTACGCCAGACACGAAAAAACCAATTCCTCATCTAATACAGCAGCACGATACCCCGAGAAAAGGATAACGAACCTAGATACATTACTAATCACATAGAAAAATCAATGAATGTTGTGATATTTTACAGAGAATTGTAAAACAAAATTACCTTAAATAAGAAAAAAGAAAGTGGTCAAACCCAAGAATCACTTGATTTTCCGCGAAAACCCTAAAGAATCTGAAACTACCACGATGCCACGCGAAGCTCTTCAACGCGCCGTCCAATATTAATTTCTGACTAATTCGTTCCCATGTCACTCAAACGTTAGAAGTTACATTTCCTGGAGGGAAGGACTTTTAGGGGAGATCACCCGGACTTCAGGGGGGACAGAGGGGTGATCAGCCGTCGTTGTATAAAGTTGACGGTCAACTAACTGCTAATGGAAGGGGGAGTGGGTATAAGAATATTACAGAGCCTTGGGGGAGGGGGGAATAGGTAAATTTTATCCCAACACAACCGAAATCTTCCGAGCCCCCACTCCTAAGCGATAAAGAGTGGCAGGTCGCTAAGCGTGATTCGATTCAGCAATTATCAACTGACTTAGCTTATGTCTTGTTAAAAGAAGCTTCGGTTAGCGCCTACACATTACTATCTTAGAAAAAGCTCGCGCAAAGAATCTGTTCATTGTACCATAGCACAAAGGATGAAGGGCACTTGGGTAACACGTCAGCACATAGAAATACTGGCGGAGCATGGCCTGGTAACGAAAGTGGTAACTGTTATTAATGCCTACAATATGCTCCCACAAAAACAATGCTTGATAGGGTATATAACAAACAACGAATGACAAAATTATAGCGTAGATCATTCTCAACAGGTCGCGTTCAAGTTCCACGCTAGACTTGTGCACTGACCCGGATTTCAAGTTGCTTGCCGCTCTCGGACGAACATAGATCGCCGCTCGTGGGTCTGCGTACGAATTGCTTCGTGATGTTGTCGTAGTCATCGTAATCTCTGACACTTCGTCGAGGTTCCTTCGAAGCTGACGACGCCTGAGTTTGACCGCCACAGCTCCATAGGAACATAACATAACCAGGTAGGGTGCTATATAAGAGAGAACGAATCTCACGATGGTATAATTTTTTTGGTCACCGATCGGAAATTTTGACATGCAAACTTTATGTCCTAATGGGTGCTCCACCAAAATCCGTGTTACAGCTAAAGGCAGCGATAAAACAAAGGCCACCAACCATATTCCTCCAATAACAGCCAGCATTACGGATGTTTTTACTTGTTTCTTGAGCGGGGACGTCATTACCCGATAGCGATAGATAGCTATGGCTGCCATGTCGCTTGTAACCACAATAATGGCTGTGACCTGTAGAGGAATAATTAGCCTACAAGGAAACTGTCCAAATATCCAGCTGTGGGTCTCTGCGTACACCATAGTGAATGGGAGGCAAATTGAGCTGATGATTTCGGCCACGGCCATATTTCCCACCAGGTAATACGTGAATGGTTTGTATGTCCTAGGAAGTTCCAGCACTGATTTTAAAACCAATGAATTGCCGAGTAAACTGGCGAGTATTATAATCGAGAACACCACGAGGCGAAAGACTTTTGACGCTACTGGCTCAGTGAAATGCGACTCTGTACCGGAAGCATTAGTTATGCCATTTGGCGGTTGAATACTCGCCGAGTTGTAAGTGACGTTCATCTTCCTTGCCAGACTGAAATCGACTTGATTGGATTCCTGTCATAAAAATTGATGAGGAGAAATGTTAGCACACGAAATCTTTTCTATTGTTGAACACTAAAGCTCTGTGTTTCCTTCTTGGTTTTCTTCGCTGATAGTTTTCATTACAGATTGCTAAATCTCACATTCATACATTGATGGATTATTACGATAAAAAGTTACTCTGCGTAAACTTGAGCGCGACATGAACTTATTGGCTTAGAAGCTATGCCAATCCTAGAGTACGAGTAGTCCCTCCTTTCCGGCGAAGTCCGTCGTGCGAGTCAAAACAAATCAGCAAAAAAAAAAAAAAAATGATGTCATCACGCCGGAGCAAGGTAGGGACTTTCAGCAGTCAGGACGGCAACGCCACGGAAGACCTCGATTAAAAAATGAGTTTCTACTTCTAGTTAGA